CTAAAGGCTCATTTAAAGTTCAATATATTGTGCCAACCTTGAAAATGAGTTACTTCAATATAAGTGTATATCATGGGAGAGCAATCAATGACTTGGTAACATTTTAGACAAGCAGCTGAATGTGCAGCTGCAACAATTTACCTCAGGGTTTTGGTGGTTTTTGTTTTTTTTTAAGAAAAACCAAAAGTTTTTTTTTCTCACAAAAAAATTAAATGGAGTGAAAATGAGGAGATAAATGTTTAATAGGTAACTTTACTTAGTATATACTATAAATATGCAAATAAGTGCTTTCAACTTGTTTGTGACTATATATACAATACTTATTTTTTGTTCATTAAAGCAGCCACATTTTTTTCCAGGCTTCTATATGAACCTGGAAAAAGTAAAAAAAAAAAAAAAAAAAAAAGATGCTTCTACTTTTAAAGACATATACCAATAGCCTTTGATTTTGAGCTTCACACAAAAGCCTGGAAAAAAAAAAACATTTTAATGAACAGTAGATCAATGCTGTATTTTACCAGGTCCAAAACACTTCTGAATGCATGAATAGAGTTAGTAAAGAACTTCATCTAATGAAGCATTTTTTATAAAATAACCTTCTGAATTCCAAGTCAATTCTTAAAAATATGCAAGTAAATAAAATACATGCTCAGAATACATTTAGATGTATGTCTTACCCAGCTTTTTACCAACCTGGCATCTCCCAATGTGTTTCAGTAGCATCTGTTAACACATTTGGAAGTCTAGGCTAGGAAAAAAAGTAACTCTGAAGGATAAACCAATATGGTGAAAAATAAATTTAGTCTTCATTTGTTCTGCCTGCAGAAGAGGACCCGTAAATGTTTGCTTTCAAGGTAACATCCTACAAAGATATGACTTCTTCTGCTCATTCTGAGGAGAATTGGATTAAATTTTGTTTCACCTACCTGTGCTAAGAATTTCTTTTCAAATTGTGTTTCATTCAGGTGAATATAAATGAAGTGATCAGTTAATCTCATTTGCACTTTTTCAAATAGAAATGGAAAGAACATCTTTTGGAAGATTAACAATTAGGTTTCACTGTTAATCATGAAAAAGATTTGCATAGGTGCCATTAGCAGTGCAATCCTACTTATTTTTTCAAGGTATAATTCCCATTGAATAGAAATTATTCCCAAAATTGGGCACCTCACATCACTATACAAAGAAATTCTGCTCTTTATGATAGGTTTCCTTGAGTCATAGTTGACTGACGTCTTAACACTGAAATCTGAACAAGTATTGGAAGCAAGTCCTAAGGATAACAAGGCAATATTTTACAAAAGTAAAAATATTACACATTCTGCTTGAAAAGATAGTTAGCCTACTGTTTTAATGTAAGAAGCTAATATATTTTAAAAAAAAAACAACAAAGTAGTTTAGGCCACTGATGTGAGAGGAAATCAAGTTAAATCTCCTATTTATAGGAATGAAAAAAAATCTATTTCTCAATAATACATATGATATAAAATCAGAGAAAATCACTCAATCAATAATTTGTCAGTTACCAAGAACAACAACAAAATTTTTGCTCATCACATAAGAAAGTTGAACATCAGCAGAATTTTGGTGCTTTAAAGATCATCCAAGGTCATAACACCTATTCAATTGTTACACATCCATTGTGGAACTGACTACAATATGAACTAGATTGTTTCCCTACTAGAGCAAATGGCTCTTGTTCATCTGCAGTTTGTATAGCATTATAGCAAAATCACTGAATTATAACAATGTGCAGCTAATAATTTTCATAGGGAACATTATATTCTGGAACAGAAAGGAGAAGCAGAATGAATATGAATCTTATTACATACAGTACATTGTGACTTTCTATAAAACTCACAACTCCAGCTCGTTTGCTATGATAAATCTTATTTCTAATATTCACACTGTCCCTTGGGATATCTTAAACTGACTGGAAAGAAATACACTACAGTCATTTGAATCATATCCCCTGAATGGCACTGAAAAAAAATATCAAGTATCAGAAAGCCACATGTTCTTCTCCTACTCATTATGAGCAAATTCAGGGAGAAAATACAGAGACACAGACACACACACACTTTTCTCCATCAACATGTTCAACTATCAAATCTTTTCTTCCCAGAATTATCTTGTCTATCTGTAGTGTATTGACCAAGACATGATTTTCATAACATGTTCAATATATGATTTATTTATTTTTTGTATGTGCATAAAAATGATTCATCTTTTTAAGTAAAAAAATCTGCAATCATCATTATCTGCTGCAAAATTTATCAAGTTTAATCCCTATCCATCCTGGACAATAAATAGCCGTTCAGCTAGCAGACTGTAGAAGCTGGAATCAACGCACACTTGGGAGAAATTTGCAGCGTTGGTACTCAGAATAAGAATGATGTTGATGAAGATGAAGGTAAAACAAGATATTTTACCTGTCTCTTCATTCCATGTACCATGTCTCCCTAGACGGGTAACTGAATCTTCCTTCCACACTGGGGAAGTCCGGTGGGCTGTATTCCCATCATATGTAAAAACAGCATGCTGGTTTTAGAAGAAAAGACCAGACTACATAGCGCCAAGTTCTCTTAGCAGCATCTCTTTTTGCTGCATCACTTTGCTTAAAAGTAGGACCAACCCTATAAACCACCTAATAACCGATAGCATTGATAACCTTTCAGTCAAATCCTCTGTGAAGGGCTGTTTTTCTGAACAACCTGAAAACCCCAGAAAAGGGTCTTCCATCCCTCTCTACCATCCTTGCTTAGCTTTGATGTTGTTCTCTGGCGTCAAAACTTCCAACTAAAGCTAGCACTTATTACGCTTGGCTATATTTCTGAAGGTAAAATAGTTTTCTAGGAAACCCATAGGGGTGTTGTTTAGTATTTAGTTTGACTTCAAATTGCACTGAAGTTAGTAGGCAAATCATTTGGCCGTTTTCATTTGATATCCAACCAGCTGTCACAAGCCATAATATTCCATTACAAAAATGATCCTGAACAGTGATATTAATTAATAATACCTGTTTTACATCTGCAGAGCAGACATATTAATACTTAGGGAGAAAAGATTTTGTTCAACTTCAATTGCTGGCATGCAGAGAATCCACACCTACTGGAAAATACCATTTATTTAGCAGATTAAAACTACTAAACCAAGCTCTGAGTTTTCAACCCTGACAGATCAATGAGAAACTCTTTGCTTGTGAGGAAAAAAAACTGTGCCACCTTTTTCAGCTGTCAACTTACTGAAAATCTCAAGATTTAATCAGTACTTTTAATTCCTATTGAAAATGTTTTATTGTTGGTATACTGTATATACATACTTAATCAGTTAATAACAACTATTCATCCCCTTATGTATATAAGCATGTATATATTTCCTAAAAGACAATTTAATTTTATGTATGAAAATGAATGCATGAGACTTTCTTTTTGGTCTCAGAAATTAAATCTGTCCATCAGTTTCCCTGCTCCCCACCACAGGAACTGAAACGTAGCAATACCATTGAATACAAGAATACTCAAAAAGCCATAAAAATATCCCATGAAGAAGGTGGGCCTCTATCCTTGCAGGTATCACCATTATAACCATCACACACTTCTTGGCACTTTCCCCCATCCTTGCCCTTCAAATATTCCATTCTTTAAGTGAGATGGGGTCTAGCTTGTCTCTTGCCTTTTGTGAGTTTAATAGCTGTGCAACTGACAAGGATGCACATATGCCAGGGTTGCTAGGCAGCTGACATTTCTCTACTACCCCATGTATTCAACAGACACCACTTTCTGCTCACTGGTGAAGATTACTACATATCCCTAAGAGGTCGGAAAGGAAAACGTCTTTCAGGAAACTATAATATGGTATTTAGTATAAGTATTGACAGTGGTAATCATTTGCTTGACGAATCCCCGAAAAGATACAAGAATTCTATGCAAAAGCCTTCACTGAAGCATATTTTCATAACACTTCCCTCCTACGAATATAATGTAATCTCTTTTTCACAATAATTTCAATTAATATCATTGCTACTGCTATCTAACAATACTGCTAATGGTGATAAACCATCTCCACTAATTACCCATCATTCAAGATTAATGAATGAAAACAGCCACTGGTAGGATGACCCACTTTAGAGAAATGAACAGCTACAGTTCTGCCCATTAGCCACTCAATCCAGTAATATTACCTCAATTAACACTTATATTATATATAGCAGCATTATAGCTGTGTCTTCAGACCCTTTGAACATGACAGACTTTAGTGGATATTTAATATGCAAGATAATTATTTATGCAAGGAAACAAAATAAAATTCAGACTCTGTATTTTTCTGTCTTTCAAAAGCATTCTTTTGAATAGAAAAATTAGTTTTGTACATTTGTTTCCACTTAATATTATTTCAGCATTTTAGTTCAAAACTCTTTTCTATACTTAAGCTTAGATGCCTTTGTTGACAATATAAACAAAAGAAAAATATTACTTACAATCATTTATCTCTACTAGATGCTCATGTGATGTTATATTTCAAGACATATTGAGCAGTTCATCATGTTTTGAAGATATTATAAAATCAAACTTTATCCATACATGGAGCAAAAAAAAAAAAAGCAAAGGGTCATAACTGCCTTTAGAAAATAGGTTGACTGAGTTGGGAGGCTTTAGATTGAATTAAATTATAATTATTTTAATTATAAATGTATATTTATGCTTTCTGACAATTAAAAAAAGGCTTCATGACCATCCAACCAATTGGGAGAAACAAATAAGCTTGATGAAGTGGTAATGCTGTAAATCCAAAACTGCAATGATACCTCTATGCCAAAAAAATACACTTGAAATTTTCTAATTTCAGAAACTCTATATTAGAAATTATTAGCAGCAGATGCTTTAGGAACTCAGATGTAGCCAGAAATCATTAAGATAAAAGTTCTTTGTACATCTTAAACTTAACACAGCTATTGTAACAATTATTGTGCTGAATCTTGATATACTTTTGCACTACAATCATATACAAAGTTAGTTCTATCCAGCATGAATCTATCTTACCTGAAAATGCCACCCCTTTCAATCTAATTTCCTGTTGCTGGATTTTGAACAGTATTATGTAGCCAAATTCTAGATTCTTTCTTCCTATGTGGAATAGAGCTATTTTCTCTATTATGGAATAAAGGAATAATCATCTTTATGTAGTGCAGGGGGGGACTATATCCACTTTACACACGAAAAATGACAATAGTAAAATAAGACTTTAGGGGAGAAGCCAATGACTCAATCCAGTTAAGACCACAGGCCTGAGTAAGTTCTAGAAAGCTAGTGCAACTCAGAGTAGATGGACCAGTGACATAAACGTTTCTGGACATAAAGCATACTTAACTAAAACCAGTCAACTATATTACACATTTTATGACTTGAGCTTTGTACACAAGTTTACTTTGATTCAATATGCCTATGATTAATAGCACAAAGATATCACAAAGCAAAAACTTAGCTTTTGTTACTGCCTTGCTAAGTGTAATTCGTGGATCAATTATTGCAAATAAGATTCAGTAAGTAAATGCAATGTTGTACTGTTTTCAACCCAATTGTCTGACTGGAAGAGCCTACATTTAATTTCTATTATTATTAAGTGGGATACATCTCATATTATCGCCAAGTAGGTGACTATAAAGGGAAAACTCAAGAGTAAGATCTTCAAGATCTTCAACTAGCTTAATTTTCAGAGCTCCAATTTTTACCAGGCTATAGAACGGGATAAGGTGAGTTTCCTATTCCAGTTTATTTTAGTTTTATTTTTAAAGGAACACATCCTGAGTGATTAGCAACGATATGAACATATATTTTACACCCAAGATCGCAAGTTATGCACTGAATCCTTAACTAAATTAGAACAAACAAATCATGGATCAAGAGTGTGAGAGGCAAATACTGTAGGTTCCCCACCCCACCACACCTCATTTTACAAGTAGAGACACTTTAAATTCCCTGGATAACATTTTAGTAAGACAAATAAATTGCTTTTATGACTTATTTTATTTTGTAAATACATTTCCCCTCTCTTCATGAGTGTGTGTCTGTGTGTCTGTGTTATATAAATATAAAAACCATTGCTTGAAATCATCAGAAACAGGGTACCCCCACCATATTGGTACATACTAAAGGAGGTACTCTCCACAGTTTCCCTTTAGTTTGATTTTTATCTTCATGTAAGGCATTAGTGACGTCTGGTGAATTACATTCAACGTGATGATTTTCTATTAAGGGCAGATTCGGGACTCCAAATGGATAGGCTGAGTGCACCATTCAAAAGTAGCCTCTGATCTCCGGGTGGCATTTCTGGAGCTTGGGTGCCATCTACTGGCCATACGGATGGATAATTTTTTTTCTCCACCAAGGAAATCTTTTCCTTCGGATTTTTTTCATGTGTCAACTCAGTTCTCTACAAGAAACAAGATACCAGCTAGATACCTTGGAAAGGAAATACATGAAATAAGCAAACTTTTTTTTTTTTTTGCTGTTGCTTCTTTTCACACTAGTAAAAATGGTTTGGGGAAAAAATGCTCTGTGAAGTCAGTTTGGCAATATAGCAATTATAAAGTAAAAGAGAAGATCTATTAAAAAAAAAATCCATAGCAAATACAACAAAACCACTTCATTATCTCAGTAAAGCAAATGGGAGTTTGTAGGTTTAAAAAAAGTTACTAGGCCTAATTTTTTGTTATAGAAAAAGAGGAAAAAAAGCAACATGCCCACACCCTGTTAAAAAAAAATGTTGAAATTTATGCCTCCCATCCTAAAAATATATAATATATTCAATATATTTTAAAAATCTAAGCTTCCAAAGGGAGGGGTTTAAATTTAAATAAAATGACTTTTCCTTGCATTCCTTGGAGCAAATCATAAATAATGGTACCAATAATTTTAAAGAATTAAATAAATCTATTGCATATTTTTATGTAGGAACTCACTCTGATAAAAGCATAACAAATTGAAATGGAGGAAAACAGAAGGAGCAGAAGGGAAAAGGGAAGAGAAAGAAAGAGATTGAAAATCAGATTTTAAAAATTCAAAATAGCATTTTGATAGAAAAATTGCAGAGATTGTTATTTTTGTTATATTCTATTAACATCACAATAGATTGTACTGGTATTAATAAAACAACATGGACTTAACGGGCAGCAAGGGTATGAACAGGGTATAGCTCAAGTTTTTAAAATTCAAGCTTTTGTATCTTCTAATATATATCTATTATTTTTTTTTCAAAATGTTTTATTAGGAAAGCTATACCAGACGCATCACTGTACAATGATTAAACATTACCTTTACAATTGATATTTACTTGAAAGTACAGAATAAATATATGCACATTTGTATTTGTGTCTCTGTGTGAGAGCGTGTCTGTGTGAGAGCAAGAAAGAGAAAAAAGAAAGAACATTAAAAGTGCTTCTTCTAAGAAATACCTGTGATTGGTACCCAGTGAGTTTTATTTTTCTCCCACCTGTACACTTATTATGTTGGAGTCTTAATTAGAAGTGTGGCTGTGATTGAATAGAACCGTAATGAACTTTTTAATAATAATAATAATGAAACTGGCCTTTTCTTCCCACAGGAATGCCACAAAAGAGACCAAGAGCTGGAAATCTTGGCTTAAAATGATAATTTTAGGCTAGCAATGTCTCTGATCTCTCTTTCACAACATTTATTGTGGAAAATGGAGGGAGAGTGGGCACCTTGCAATGAGAAAGGAAGCTGATCGAAGAAGGCTGGGAATAGAAAGTTAAGACTGAGATTGGGGACTTGTGTGTGTGTGTAGGTGAGAAAGAAGTGAGAGAAGAGAGTGAAAACATTAACAGAGGATAACTCCATCCCTCCAAAAGCAGTTTCCAGACATGCAGCTAACTGCATTTTTGTTGTTATTCACCCCACTTTTGTATTCTTTTAAATAAATGTACAGAATCTGTGCCATGACCAAAGGGGGGGCAGCTGAAGATGTTTTGAGTCCACCTCCCACTGTTCAACATAAAAAATAGAATGGAAAGATTTGTGTTTCTATAGTGTTTTGTTTCTTAAAAGAAAGAGTGAAGGCGCAAGAGAGAGAGAGAGAGAGAGAGAGAGAGAGGAAAAAGGAGGAGGAGGAGGAGGAGGAGGAGGAGGAGGAGGAGGAGGAGGAGGAAGAGGAGGAGGAGGAGGAAAAAGAAGGGGAGGATAGTACACACAGAATTTTACTTTGTCAGGATCAAGACAAAGTTCCCCCATGATGCTAATTAATAATAATATTCTTATATCTTAGACAACATGGCACAGTCAAAGTCTCAGGTTTTTGTTTTTCAATATAAAAAAATAATGATTGATTAACATCTGCTGGCAAAAGTCTGCAAAGGCACTTTTATCGATTAATGATCATCTGAGTTAGGCCCTTCCTCCAAACCAACAACTGGCAGGGGGGAAGCACAGAGCTGTATCTTCTAGTATCAGCATGCGGTGGTTGGGGGAGGAAAGGGAGAGGAGCAGATGGGATGTGAGGGTGCTCTGGGGCAGGGAAGGGAGTGGGAGATGCTGGAATTTGGCTGTAAAAAGCTAGACGTTTTTCTCAAAACCTATAAGTGGTCTTCTCCAGGACTTCGAGGTAATCCGGCTTGGTTTGGAGTTTGGCCCTTAACTCGAGGTATTCACTTTGGGGGGTTTGATGATGTTCTGGGAAGCCCTTACCAGCCGAGAAGAGAAGAGTTTCTTTCAGCCTGGCGTCCTGTTGTAGGTCTGGATATTGCATGCCAGGGGGGTGCACGTGCAGTTCCTTTAATTTGGGCACTGTGCCATATAGACAGTCCACAAAGCCCACTGAGCATGGAGGGACCAATGGGGGCCTCTCCCTGTTGTCTAGAATGGCACCACTAGGAGGGAAGAGCACTACCCCACCATTCTTCTCATGGTGGAAGACAGGCGGCACCAGGGCTAGCTCCCCCAAGAGAGGAATCCCCCCAACAACTCCTCCTCCAGATGTCTGAGGGTGTGGGTGATGGTTGGTTGTCACTATGGTGTTGAGCTGTGAGCTGGACACTGCCAGATTCCATTCTTTTTCCTTCTCCAGCAAGGTCCTATAGCAGCTACTGTTCCCACTCTCCTTAGTGGGGTCAGCAAAGTGTTCCCCAACACAGCTACTACCTCCATTGCCACCTCCTAGAAGTATGTCCCCAGGTTGCCCAGATTCTCCTGCTATAACTTCATCTTCTTCACGCGGCTTGTAGATGGGATTGTTGCACATCTGGGTTACCGGATGGGGGATGTAATCATAAACATGACCCAAAGAGGGTGCCTTCTCTGGGGATGCACTCATTCCACCACTTCCTCCACCACCTCCCTCCTCGAAGAGGTGATGACATTGCATCTGGATGCCCGTTAAGTCAAGGGCTTCCTGCCGCTGTTGGTTCCGGAAAGGGAGCTTCTTGCGCCGTCGGCGTAAGACAAAGGCAAACAAGCCTGCAGCAATGAAGACTGCAGAGAAGAACAGCACAAGTAGACTAAGGATGAGCACAGAGAGTGGTACTGGCCCTCCTCCAGCAGGGGGTAGCTCATAGGGTGAGGGACTGGTAGGACTTGGGTGACCTGATGGTGGGGGGGCTGGCGAGGCAGTGGCAACATGTAACATTTCTGGACACAACACCTCCAACTCCACAGAGCGGACATCTCTATTAGTAAGGTTCTCTGGGCTGGCACAAAGGACATCCCCCACCACAATGACAGAACTGATTGTCTCGATCCACTGCTTAAGAGGCACCAGATCACACGTGCAATCCCAAGGATTGAGCTTCAGGTCTATCTGGACAATGGCATTAAGGTGCTCCAACACACCAGCCACAGGCAGGTATAGGAATTTGTTGTTCCGCAGGTTGAGTCTGGCCAGGGATGTGCCAGCAAAGGCATCAGTAGGCAGGGTCCTCAGGAGATTGTCATTGAGGAAGAGCAGCTTCAGGTTAGGCATGAGACTGAAGGCGGCGGGCTGGATCACCCTTATCTGATTGTACTCAAAGTACAGATAATGCAAGCACTGCAAGCCTCTGAACATGCCTGGGGTCAACTTCTCAATGTCATTTCCATTCAAGTACAGGCTTTTCAGATTAGGCAAGTTAATAAAAGCCCCATCCTGCACATACGAGATCCGATTGTTCCCAAGATGCAGAAGATCCAAGGAAGAAAAATTCCAGAAATCTGAACGGTAAATTTTTTGTATCAAATTCCCACTCAGGTAGAGTTTCTTGGCATTGATGGGCCTGGGCAAGAGCTCAGAAATGTTGTGGAACCCTCTTTCCTTGCAGTTGACAGTTAAACCCAAATCATTGATGTGCAAACTGCAAGAGCAACCGGTAGGACATATGATGGGTATAGGTGGCCTTGTCTGGTATGCAGCGATCGGAGGCTGGTTGGGTGCAGGGTACAGGCCTCGGGGTGTAGGTGGTGGTTTGGGAGCCCTGGGCTGTTTTGTTGGCTTGGGCTGCTTAACGGAGGTTTTATATTCAACAGAGGAAGCGGTGAAATGGAAGGAGGACAACATGGAAGAAGGTTTAGTAGGCCAAGCATTTTCCTTGCTTGAGGATAACTGAGGGACACCAACGCTGACAAGTTCTGAGTCAGACAACATGGGGCAGAGTTTATTTCTTTTGATTTCCCTCAAGTCCTTGCCGTGAAAATGAAAGGGGGTCTCACATGTAATGTCTCCCACAAGGGCAGTATACGGAATACGCTCCAGCCAGCTTTTCAGCTGAACTATTTCACAAGTACAGTTCCAAGGGTTCTCTTCCAACTGAATCTCCATCAAGCTCCTACCGATGTGGTCCAGCATCCCTCGATAGGAAAGTACTTTCAACCTATTCCCACGCAAGTCCAAGTGAGTCAGAGACACCGACTTAAACAAATTAGTGGGAAGCATGGGAATTAGATTGTCATTTAAGATCAGGACCCGGAGTTTACTCAGGTTTCGAAATGCCCCACTTTCAATTCGCTTAATAACATTGTAATCTGCCTGCAGATATTCCAGACTCTCTAATCCCAGGAAAGTATCATTTCGGAAAATGTCTAGTTTATTCTCATGCAGGTACAATCGCTTCAGAATTTTGAGCCCATTAAAGGCCCCCGTCTGAATGTCTTGCAGTGCGTTGTTGCCAAGGTTAATAGAAACAGCATTGTTCAAGTGGAGAAAACTGTTTGTGTATAATCTTCTCATGGAGTTTCTCTGCAGGTAAAGTTTGAAAGGTCTTGACCATGATTCTGTTATCTGACTAATATTTATAAATCCCTTGTTGTCGCAGTGTATATGAAAAAGGCTTTCTTTGACTTCACAGTAACAAGGATCAAAGCAGGGTTCCTCAATTTCCTCTGAGTCCTCGATCAAAGGAATGGGGGTAGTCCATGCTACTGCAATTGTGCTTAGAAGGGTAATCCACAGCATCCTTCTCTGACGGGGCGGATCTGCCATCGAAGGCTTCATGGTTCAGAGGGATTACGAGACTGTAATGAGAATCAACAACACAAAGGGATTACAATTGATTGGTAATTTTGAGCAATCCAATGGGGGAGAGAAGGAATGAGTTTTCGGGAATTCCTCTCTTCATCACAAAAGGGGGAAAAAACAACAACCTAGCAGCACAAGTGGTATTTACCTACTTTCTTACTCAAGTGATATCCAAACATTTAATCAGACAGTGGCCTTCTTCCCTCCCCCAGCCTACCCACTTGTCTTCCTCTAATGTTGCTTAGTACATAACACCATAACGAGGAAGAAAATGAAGGCTGTAGGGCCTGTGTTGTAAATGATCTAGAAACATTTTTTCCCAAAACCGAGACAAAGTTCAGGAAGCAGATGATGTGCACAAGATCAGCCTCAGATTCGTATTTGCATTAATTAGAAATGAAAAGATGCAGCTGAAAAGAGATGTCCCCCCCCCCTTTTAATCTGGATACAGATACTCAATTAAGGGTACAGGTTATCACTGTAAGCAAACATACACTTAACTTTCAAGTGATGGGATCCCACTAGGGGAATATCCAATTTTACCTAACACTCCCACAGACATTATTGAAGAAAAGAGGACAAACAAGTTTCCAATATTTCTGATTCCTAAAGAAATGCTTGCGATTGGAATTAGAAACTAAATACTGTACACAGCAGCAATGCCAGACTCAAAACAAGAAGAAAATTAAGCCTCTGCTCTTCCCAGCACCCAAAACCAAATTAACATAACTGGAATATAGTACCAGATAAAAAAGCATACTCCATATTAATCATTTCAGCTGATTAAAGCATTTAGAGATGATTAATCTTTGGAAAGAACCTGCTGTGCCATCTACAGATCCAAGTTGAAGGCTAAGCAATGAAAAGGCTGATAGGGAGATTGTCTGGCTGTACATTGAAAGGGGAGGGGGGATACTTTGAATGAGGATGACTTGTGCCCACAAGTCTACCCAGGGCTGATCCAGCAAGGGAAAAGAGGAATGGAGGAAGATTGAAACTTGGGAGGAGATAAAAGACTTTTGCATCAACTACAAGCAAAATAATCATTCCTTTCTAGTAAAATCTGCCCCCCCCCCCACATACACACACACACACACACACACATACACACACACACAAAAGAATCTACTTAACAGAGGCTTACCAGAACACAATGACCTACACAGGTTTCTCAGATTGTCTTTGTTTCCTGGATTCTTTCTTCCACCGCACCCCCCCCCATTCCAATACAGAAGAAAAGATCACTGTTAAAGACTAGGCATCCTGACAAAGATTGGGGAGGGGGCCTTCACAGCCCTCCAGTTACTGCCCATTCAGAGGTTTGCCAAGAGTCCTCGTATTTAGTTGTGCTGCTCTCGCAGCAAAAGATAGATCGATTCTCTTGCACTCCCTCCTTGCAGAAGACACTTCAATTCCTCCCTCCTGTTAAATAGGGGGGGGGAGAACCCTTCATGGTAAAAGGTCATATTTAGGAAGAAAAACTGGGAGGGAGGAGTTAGTGGGATTCACAGTAAGGAAGAAAGCAGAGGACCAATTCGGAAATGAAGGAAATTGGGGAGCCTTGTAGGAAGAGAATATATGAATAGGGAGGGGGAGGGAAAGGATCTCTCAGTTCAGCATTTTCATTCCACTCTTTGCTTAGACAAGCAAGCACAACGACAAATGTGTGTATATTATTTTTTCTCTTCTATGTTTTTTGTTTAAAAAAAGATGTTTGACCCAGGCACAAATGGGGGAGAGGGAGGAAGAGAGAGAGAGAGACAGACACAGAGAGATTCCCCCCCCCCAAAAAAAAGCTTCTACTTACCAGGCTTGAAGGAGAGATTTTTAGCACATTTGGAGAGCAGAAAAAAAGAGGGAGGAAAAAAAAAAATACCCTGGCAAACCTTACTTTAGCAAAATAAAGAAAAAAAACAAAAAGACGTTTATGCAATGAGCGTTCCCGGCTTCTTCTTCTTTTTTTTTTTAAGTTGCAAAAATAAATAAATAAAGGATTGCTGGTTTCTCTTTCTCTCTGCTCTGATTCTATACTCTAGCTTGGGAGCTGAAGCAAAAAGGAAGGGGGGGGGCGAGCAAGCACAGATGAGACGTGGTAGGAATGCAATGAGCTTCTTTAGGATGCAGAGATACTGCTTGGCACAGTCGATGGAGGAGGGAGGAGAAGGGGGCTGCTGCAGGCTCTCAGTTCTGCTCTTGCTAAGCTGCCTAGGCTGGGTACCACTAGCTCATTTTTGGGAAAGAAAGAGAAGGAAGGGTCTGGGGTGGAAGACCAACCAAGGAGGGGGAGCAAACCTTCTCCCCTGCACTCTGGATGCCTCTAAAGACCTTATTGCCTCCGGATCAGTTTTCCCCACCATGTACTAGAGCTTCAGGAAGACACACTTGTCACCCAATTGGAAGCACGCACCTGGGAAGTCCTGCCTGACTGTACAGGGTTTGCCCCCTTCTTCTGTGGACGGGGATAAAGAATGTATTATATATCTAGATATATGGATATCTATATAGGAAGAGGTCAGAAAGTGGGGGAACTCTGAGAGGATGGGGGAGGTTGGAATTGAAATGCCAGAACGGATTTGAACTGGAGGTTGTGCTTGCCCTCCCTTCCCCTGAAAAATCATCTATGGGGGGGGGGGTGAACAGGAAAGCCCCTTGGACTATCCAACATTCAGATTCCACCAAATTCTTGAGAGTAGTAGACCTTAAGGCTATTCTTAGATTCTCTGCAGTTCTCTATCAAACCTAAATCTGTCCCAGGAGAATAAAATACAAGAGCAGCTCTATGTCTTTTGTGTGTGTCTAGATATGTGTGTCTAAACAAGGACCTTTTCTCTTGCCTTACTTTTTCCTATTCTTCACATCCTCTTTCTCTCTCCCCCCTCCCCATTGCTCTAGAAAGTCTTTGCTCTCCCTTCCACTAGGCTATTGAAAAAAAAAATCCTCCAGAACCCAGGGTTGGGTGACAAGGAACCTCTTTCTACCCAAAAGGAAATAATGGACAAATTTAAGGGCTGCTGCACTTCCTCTTATCAAGATATCTGCCTCCCCCTTTCTCCTCTTCTTGCAAATTCCTCCTTGAAATAAATTTACCCGGAGGATAGGTTGCCTGGTGGTAGAAGAAAAGAAAAAGGAAATCTCTAAGATCAATTTCTGTCTAAATCCAAGAAGACGAAAAGAAAAGGAGACTGGAAGGTAAAAGAAAATTCAGTCTGTGTAGAAAATAGGGGCAAGCAAAACAACGGAGGGGGCAAGTCATGGTTACACAAGAGCATCCAAAAAAGGTTTGCTGATGTAAGAATCTCCTCTGGACAATCCAGCAAATGGAGTTGTTGCTCAGTATTATTATTATTATTATTATTATTATTATTATTATTATTATTATTATTATTATTATTAAAAAAACTCAGGATCAGTTTGGTCATCATTAACTCAAGTTCTGTGAAAGCTGAGGTTGTATTAGTCCATCCCGTGGCTTCCAAAATTGCCTAAACCTTCCTGCCTTGCCTAAAATTCTCCCAGGGGTGGAAACTGCAAACTTTATATTTGCCAATTACTCTCGTAAATGGACTTCATTTAGAGATCAACAATAGAGATATCACTGTTTATCAATTGGTTTCAATCAGGGAGGAACGAGCCTTGTCAGCAAAATCCAGTTGCAGCCTAGAAAATGGATTTGGATGGTTGCTTTGTGCTTTCCCCCCTTGAAGGGGGGTAGAGAGGGGATGAGGCTGGCAGGTGGCAGTGTCATTGGATCCTTTGGGACTCTCCCCCCCCACTCTATTTCTGTTCTCCCTATCACAGTCAAAGAACTGGGATTCTTACAACCATTGAAAGGTAGGTTGAGTGATGGGTTCAAAATCAGCAGGCTTGCAAGGAATGAGAGACATTGTGCCTGAACTATTCTCTTAGGAGGCCCCACAAGGGTTACCCCGGGGCAAGTGTGTCCTCACACTTTAAATAGCTCCATAGGCAGTCAAGCAACAGCCACCTTGTTCCCATGTCCTCTGGCACCATGGAAGTGCCTCCTTAGTTGCGGAGGAAATAAGCAGCGTGGTCCTTTATTGCTTAAATGCCAAAGACAGAAATTACTGGTTTGAAAGGCAGGGATATTTATGCAATTTCTTGGAGAGCTGGGGAAAGGAGATGGGTGGGGGCAGGAAGAACCTTAGAAATGAAATGGAGGGAAATTGGCCGTAGGCAGTACATACCACAGCTCTTTTCCTGCACGAACAGGTCTGGGGAATCCTTCTTCGCAATACAACCAGAGCAAAAAAAAAAAGGTGTACCTGTATCCCATTTCACACGCGCGCTCTTTCCAGGCATGCACAGATACAAACAATCGCCTGTGGCAAAAAACAAAAACAAAAAAACCCCCCTGCAATCCAGCCTCAGTCGGTCGCCAGATCTACGGACAAAAAGCAAAGAGGAAGGGCACTGAATTTACCTAAGGTGATCCGCGCAGGGTGGGCTGCCTGGCTATCGGTGGGTCGCCCCGGCTGGCGCGGCTTTGCAGACGGAAGGATGGTCGCTTTTTCCTTCTCTTCTTCGTCTAGACAAAGAATCCGCTTGGCAACTTCCATCCTGGGCCGAAGCGCAACCTGGCCAACTTCAACCCTGCTGGCCTGCCGCCGCCTTCATGTGCCCCCCCGCGCCCCCAGCCAAGCGCGCCCGGTTCCTGCTTGTAATCCGTCCCCGCGAGCACCTCTTCCCGCCCCCCTCTCGCCCTCGCAACTTGGCCCGAGGAGAGACGGGGAGCAGCGGCGAGGAACTGCCGGGCAAGAGCGATCGCCTGGAGGAGGATGAGAGCGCTGGATGCAAATCAGTCAAGCGGGTCATGGCGCCTTTGCAAAAAAACGCAGCTCCGCCGGACGCGCCGCGCCGCGCCTTCTGCCTTCTGCCTTCCCACCGCGGCGTTGCCGCCCGCTTCCAAGGATGAGCGCGTGGCTCCCGCCGAGGCGGCCGCGACGAAAGAGGCGAGCCAATAGCTCGATCCCCCACCGATCCGGATGCATCGAGGAAGCTCCTTTCCTTTACTTCTCTCTTTCGGGGAGGGGGAAATCGGCCTGAAGGTTTCCGGAAACTGCGGGAGGGGGCATCTCAGCTCGCCCCTCAGCTCGCTGTATCCTTTTTCTTGCCTGTCTGAGGCCAAAAAAAAAAAAAAAAAAATGGTATTGGTGGGAGGGTCTGCCGGTCCACGGCGCTGGGCGCTGAGCAAGAGAGGGAGACAAATGCTGGATCCGGTCAGCTTCTTATCCCAGTCTGTAGCAGAGCAGCAGCGAAATGGCTTTCGGGGGTGGGGGGATGGGGGAAGGAGAGAGCTTTTCCCGACGGTTGTAAAAACTGGGCTGGCGACGGGAAGCAGAGGAAGCCAAGCGAGATTTGCAGCTGGACCATCTGCTGGAATCCAGTTGGCGGGTATCATCCCACCTGCGCTTCGTTTGGAGTAAGTCTTACCTAACTTAATGAGATTAATTTGAGATGGCCGTGGAAATCGGGCGTCCTGGGGGAAAAAGGGTTGACATGAGGCACTCTGGTCATGTGAAACAGTTTCAGTTCCACCGTGATGGGGAAGAGGAGAGGGCTTCTGAAGAGGAGGGGGACATGACTTTTCACCTGGCAACCAAAACCACTTGAGAAGGCTCATTCCCAGGGTGGCAGAGAGTAAGGACCCTCCCATATAAACACACACACACAAAGTGGGACCTTATCTGCATTGCACTTGGAGCCTTGACTTTCTTCCAAGGAGTGAACATCAGAGGAAGTGGTCTTCTACATAGACCTAGGTCAGTATTATCTATGCAAAATATCAGTAGGCTCTGAAGGCTCAGACAGGGATGTCCCCAATCTCTCCCTAGAGACCTTAAGGATTGAAATGATTGTGTGCCACACATTTATTGCTGACTTTCAGCACCCTTTGGATGCAGCATGCAAGGGTTGTTTATTATGTTCTTGTTCCTTAGACTGATCTCCTGCTTTTTCTCCTGGAGCTCAAGACACACTTTCTTATCCAGATTGTCTCCACCACAGCCCTGGGAGGTAGGTTGGGTTGAAAGATAGTGGTTGCCAGCCATTGAGACTCCATGAAGATGATCTTGTTCATTACCTAAAACAAACTTAGACAGGGATGCTTTCTTCCAGGCTGTCCAGCAAGCAGAGTGTTTGGCACTCTTCTTTGGCATGGCCCATCCCATAAGGATTTTCTCCAGAAGCTCTTACTTCCAACCAGAGTACAAAACAGTATCTACAGGTCTGAGTAGGAATTATTCTATTGTAAGCTCAGTATTTACCCTTTAGCCATACTTTTGTGTCACGCCTGTGAATATATGCTAGTACTTACGCACTAAAGTGAAAGTATTTATATTCAGTCTTTTGCAGGTAGACTATTAGTGATGGTCCATTGCTAGAAGCATCAGGCAAGTGTCAAAACGATCAATTTCAACTGTATACTTTAAGAGAAAGTGGGAATCACAGTTACTGTGACAGATCTTCTGGATTAGACTAAATATAAAAAATGCAAGGTTTTAGTTTATCTCCTGCCTCCCATATGGTTTATTGGAGCTGCTTTTTGAGCTGAATTTGAAAATAGAATCAGCAATAGGTTATTTTCAGCAATGATTGTCAATATGGAATGGAAAGCTTTTTTGATCCCAAGCATATCATTACCATTTCAGTGATTATCAAGACCTAAACCCCAAAAAGTAATGAGACAAGAAATGGAAATGAGATAAGAAATAGGTAGAGCCAACAGAGTGGAAATATAAATTTGATTTCATATAGATGTAATTTATAATAAGATACAGATAATTGTAATTATTTTCTTTTTTTTTCTGTTATTAGATACTAGATATTAGATACTATAATTGTATGGCAACTTTTGTGTATTACAGGAATTATGGTTAAGACTGGGTTTTCTCTTTTAGTCAAGGCTTGCGTCTTTTTAGGATGGTGGTTGTGCACCTGAATTCTTAGTAGAACATTTCAGCTACTTATTTCATTTGCATTTAAAATGCATTAAAAATTCTGAGGAGTGAATTCTTATCTCTGTTTTAATTCATGTGATATGTTGAGAGAAGATCCTTAGCTTGAAAACTGGTGCTTGAAAAAGCTTTGGGGATTGAACTGGGTCCCAGGAAACCAGTTGCTTATCCCAAGTAAAATAATGTCATTCTCTGTTGTATGCATATGCAACACAGGAGGGCAAGGAAATCTCAGATGATGGATGAGGGATGAAGGAGATCTTTCTCCACATATTCTTCTCTACTTCTACCTTAATAGTCCTGTACAGGACTATTCATTTTTAAAAATAAATAAATAAAATGTCTGAATGTGGTCTATCTGGACTTGGGGGGAGTTACAAACTATAGCATCCATGTTCTTTAGGATCCTAAAATGTTTAAAACACTGTTCTTGAACTAGTTTCTTTACTGAAGTTACTGTTAGAAATATAGTAATCATAACTGCTAGGATTTTTCAAGTTAATCTTTCTTTAAAAAGAGGTAATTTGCTCCACTGCCCAGTTTATTCATCTGACTTTCTGTTGCTGAGGCTTTAAAACTACTAATTGTTTTATAGCAAGTCCTTTTATATGTATTGGTATTTGTTGCTTTGAAAATCACTGGACCCTGCAGCATTTTAAATCTAGATGTGTGCATTGGTTTTCTCAGGAAATAAAACAATACTGTTGCTAAGACCATTTCAGTGTTTAGGGAACCAGATTAACCATTCTATGTCCTATAGAGCATTTTATTTGAACATGGAAAGTCTCTTTTTTTAAAAAAAAAATCTCTTCTCTCCTCTCTCTATTGTGATGATCCCAGCCACTTTCCAAGCTTGAACACAAATGAGGGCAGGGAAGCTGACCAGGAAGTGCCCTCTTCTGGGAATCTTATTTGAGCATTACATTTCTACAGAGGCTTTCCATTAGGCTCACCACACCCCTCTGAAATGCAGTCATTTTTAACCCTCCATCTTAAACTGCTGCATGAAAATCAATTCATTATATCTTCTAATAGGTCTCCCCCCCCCCTACATTCCTTTGCAATATGGAACCAGGGAGAGAAAGACTGGAGTGAAGAAGCTACAGCCACAGTACTGAGAAAATAATGCAACTTAATGAAGAGAAGGAGTCACTGTAGGGCTGGCAACTAGTGAGTTGCAGAGCTTTTGCTGAAGCTTGGAGATTGGCAGAGAGCCCATGATTGCAACAGTGCAGCCACCATTAGAACAGAGACTTCTAGAAGTCCAGCTGCAATATGGGATAATTGTCATTTTTGCCTGCCTTGTTTAAATAATATAAAATAACCCATCTGGCATAGCATCTTTTTTTATAGCAATTTTATTAAAAGTAACAGTTAAACAGGTAAAACTAAAAAAAAAAAAATGAAAGAAAAAGAAAAAAGTGAAGAAATAAAGAAAAAGAAAATAAGAATAAAGAAAAAAGAAAAGAAATATATAAAGAAATGGCTTCCCCTTTATCCAACAATTTCTTAAAATACTACAAATGATCTCTTCTTTCCATATCTCAACTTTTACCTATATACAACTTCTTAAAGCTTGTTGTTTAGTCCTGATCAACAAAGTCTATTAAGGGTTACCAGAGATAACAATGTGCCTGTTTTACCTTGATCAAATAAATCAACTTCATATTCCTTTCTTTTAAATAATCTTGATCTTTAGGCCCTTGGTATAATGTCACAGAACTTGATCTATATCTATATCTATATCTATATCTATCTATATATCTATCTATATACACACATACATACATACATATTTAAAACCAAACAAATAAATGTGAGCACCAGGGAGTGCTAAAATTTTTAATAAAATTTAGTAAAATGTCAATAAAATTACAATAAAACCAATAAAACGCCTAGCTTTCGTCAGCAACTGCTGACATCATCAGGGCTCAAAATGCCGGTCAGTAGGAGAGTCCTCTTTATAGATTGGCCAGGATCTGCACCCAGCTCCTAGATCTTGGTCATTGGGCCTCATGGAATAGGCTGTTTCCCAGTTGCCGGTTTCTTATTAGCAATAATTGCTTTCTTGCATTTCTTTCTTGCATGTCATCGGATGTTTTCTCTTTGCCAAATTCGGGGTTTGGTGGAATGTCCCCTCTCTTTTTTTTCTTTGTTGCCACACCCACTTTGTTTAGTTGCACACCTCCATCACCCCTCCCCCACTCCATTCTGATTGCCCCGTTGCAATGCACTGTCTCTTATTTTCTTTGTGTTTCCCCCTCCCGCAATTATGGTCTCCGCAGGTGTTATTCAACTTAATTGCTATCACAATTAAGGTTAATTAATATAGGTTACCCTCCCCTATATCTGCAATGTCTCTGAGGCAACTGCTAGATTACTAGCACCATACAATGTTAAGGTAGCCCATAGACCCAATCAGACACTACGTGCCATAATCATGTGCCCCAAGGATCCACTCCCCACCATGGATAAGTCAGCAGTCATCTACAGAATTGACTGTGAGGACTGCTCCAGTAACTATGTTGGGGAGACCGCCAAGAGAGTAAGAACTAGGGTCCACAAAAACAAATTAGCAGTAAAAAGGGGCGAACAATACTCTCAGATTGTGGCACACATGACTGAATCAGGCCACCAATTTGACTTTGAAAAAGTACGTGTCTTGGCCAGTGACAATACGAAAGGGGGCCACTTGCTTAAAGAGGCATGGCTATCTAATAAGGACTCAATTAATCGGCATATCGATCTTTGCCCAGCCCACTTAACGTTGAGAGCTTGGAGCATGGGTAATCCCCCACCCCACTGGAGACAGCCTGAGGAAACACCGAATATATCAACGGAGAGGATTATAGAGAAGACTTCCCCCTCTTACCATCCACAGCCCGGGAGTATCCAGACGGAATGCAAACAACAATTGAGATCTCCTCCCCTCCCAAAATGGTCAGACATCTCCGAGCATCTGAAGGAGCGTCGAGAGATGCAGGAGCATCAATGTGTGTACTAGGGGTTTGCACACACACACCGGGACATCCGGAGGGGAGAGCATTGCCTAATAAGAGATCCATATTTAAAACACCCTTGGCAGGGCATTGAACTCCCTGCTGTATTTGGGAGGGGAAAGAGTAGTCTCTCCAACCCCACTGCCTGTAACAACTCGATCACCCCATTCAGCAATACCGACCCGAATGCGCCAACGGGAAGTGTGGAATGGCCCCGATGAAGATACACAGGAGAGGAGCACCAAGAGTGGAGGGGAGAGGGCAGTGAAGGCTGATGCTCCTGATTGTTGTATAGAGAACATCCAGGGCGATTTAGTCAAAGCTAGGATGGAATGTATAAAGATCAGAGATAAAGAGAGGAGATGCCTGGGTGCAACAACTACCAGATCATACTCAAGAAGGGGAGAAACAGCCTCATTAGCATGTTTGGTGAATATGACCCGCCCACCCCACCTCGCAATGCTGATCTGCCCGTATCAACAGGCAACACGGAAGAACTCTCAAGATGGCAACGTGCAAGCAAGGAGTAAGGAGGAAACGGGGTGTGATAGCAATTAAGTTGAATAACACCTGCGGAGACCATGATTGTGGGAGGAGGAAACACAAAGAAAATAAGAGACAGTGCATTGCAACAGGGCAATCAGAATGGAGTGGGAGAGGGGGTGATGGAGGTGTGCAACTAAACAAAGTGGGTGTGGCAACAAAGCAAAAAAAGAGGGAGGACATTCCACCAAATCCCGAATTTGCCAAAGACAAAACATCTGATGACATTTACATAAGCAAGAAATGCAAGAAAGCAATTATTGCTAATAAGAAACCGGCAACCGGGAAACAGCCTATTCCATGAGGCCCAATGACAAGATCTAGGAGCCGGGTGCAGACCCTGGCCAATCTATAAAGAGGACTCTCCTACTGACCGGCATTTTGAGCCCTGATGATGTCAGCAGTTGCTGACGAAAGCTAGGTGTTTTATTGGTTTTATTGTAATTTTATTGACATTTTACTAAATTTTATTAAAATTTTTAGCACTCCCTGGTGCTCACATTTATTTGTTTGGTTT